GGGGGGGGGGGGGGGGGGGGGGGGGGGGGGGGGGGGGGGGGGGGGGGTGGGAATGGTCCAGCCAGTGGTCCCGTCGAAACTTCCACATGCCCGTACGTAAGTATAAAGCGTGTTCAGGGATAGGAGCATTTCTTGAAAACTTCCGAAGAAACACACACACACAGACAGCCTCTCGACAACATGTGTTTTTGCTGGCTGCTATAGCGCTGCACAGCAAAAACGCATAAAAACCCAGGATTGCTGCGACTGGCTCCAAAAACATCTTAGCAACGCAGTTCACCCAGTCCACTGTCCGAGCGATCTTAACTTTTTTAATGGATTAAATGGAGATTATCCCCACTAATAAGATTAATTGTGGATTAATGCGAAAGTGATGAGATTTATTTCCAAAAAAATCACACCATTACTCGGTTTTGCGTACACGCTACCGAAATCATTTTATTGGCACAAAAAGCATAGCAGCAAATCGTCAAAATGCACAAATTGCGCTCGAGTCAACAAGGAGGCACAGCCACAGCAGCAATTAAGAAATGTGATAATCATGGATATTTTGGAAAATGTGGATTGGACATTCCATCCATATTTGTCGCTGTTGTTTGGAATTTCAAAGAAAAGTCGAATGTTTATTAATTCGTTTGTCCCACTGCAACCAGCCGCGTACTCTTGACTGAACCATGTGAATCCGAGAGTGGCTCAGAGCAAAATGCTGATCAATATTAGGTATCAGCCGAAGCATAGGGGTCAACCTGAGCTGCTCAAGATTTGGCCTCCTGAATGATAACAGAAGAAAGCATTTTTCCGGCATTTCGCGATTTCACAGCATCTTTGTACCCATATGCGGCAACTACTGTTTTGTGAAATAGTTCTTCTTCATTGTCCTCAAGCAAAAACCGGTCACTTCTTCTTACAGCACTGTTTTTGCAGTATTTCTTCACAGCATTTCCACATTATCACAGGTCTGATCGCTTTTATATCACTTCCTTTCAAAAAACAGATTGTCCTGGTTTGTTTGTCGCACCGCCCGTATTAGCATATCGAAGGAGCAAATATAAGTTTCAAATTCACTGAACTTCTTTGGAAAAGATATTAAGAGCAAGTTGTATTTTTAGAAAAGCTTAACGCAAGGGGCATACTTCACCGAATTTTCTTCCTGCTCATCCCACCTGTATTTTTTTCATCGTCGATTCGCTTTGCGCAGAGTGACACGGCGCCAATAGTAGCAGCTGAATGACGGCGAGGAATAGTGATTATTTCCATTTCTGGCGATAAATTCACGAGTTTTACCATCGGTGGTCCCAATGCCAAAAAGCATTATTCAGCTTTTTCTCTTCACTCTCGTCTCTTGCGCTCCAATTGCAATCGAGTTTGTAGCAATAAAACCAAATAATTCCGGACAGTGAAGCAGCTGATACCACCAACCACAATATTCTGGCACCAATTAGAAAATACCCCAGGTCCTTGTTCTCCACAGCGCATCGGCCCATAAATTCTGCGCCACCAACCATAAGTCCCCCTTCGGCTCCAAGAAGCATTCGTAAACCCAGGCGCTTCCTGTCGGAACATTTGTACACTGAATCATCCTGTCAGCGCTTTCATCAATTTATAGTGGCCCAGTAAGCAAATTTTCCCTACTAACTAGAAATTTGCACGTTATTCATGAATGTTTTTCATCAGCATGTTATTTGGATTAGCGTTCTTTGTAACAGGCAGACTGTACACCCCCCACATACTAGCTTCAGCTCTCCAGATGATTCGGGTAAGTGAGCGAATTGTGGTTCCAGATCTGAAGGATAAAGATGAATTAATAACAATGGCTTTATGCAAAGCTGATCACTGGGACGATAACGTGTTTTCAGGAGCGAGAACTCGCATTACACGAAACAAAAGACCTAGAAAAACTCGGGAGGGAAGATGGGAGAGCGAAGGGGGTTGATTATTTTCTCGTGGGAAATAAACGACCCTCCCTTCCCTCCCGAG